CAGCAGAGTCGCCAGTTCTGTGATGCGGTGGGAGAACTGACTTGAGGTTTTGCGTTTATGTTCGCAAATGTTTCGGTTTAGCAAGAGTCGCCACAGACTTTTTATTTATCCAAAGGAAAGGTAAAAAAGCACAGGAAAGACCTTTGAGATGTTTTCTTGGGTTCGGGGGGTAGATTATGAAAAGGGAAGGTGCTAGCACCCTTTTCATCCATGGTTTTCCATGGGCTCTTAGTTACTTGTTTTAGATCACTTGCTTTTGCTTTTTAATTGTTTGAAATGGTGCTTTGTGTGTGGTTTTGAAAGTATTTTGAAAAGAGGCCTTTGTCTAGGCAACCTTTGTAACAATTCTTGTTTGAATGTTTTACAAAGGTGTTTGTCTTTTGAAAAATGTTTCAATGTTTGAAAGTTTGTTTTGGGAAATGTTTTGAAATTGTGTTGTGAGGTGTGTTTGAAATTAGCAAGGATGTTTGCAAGTTTTGATCAATTAACTAGGAGCATCTACCTACCTACTCAAAGATCTTTCCTACATATTTTTAACCCTTTGACAATGTTGTTTTACCATTGCATTTGGTAAATAACCTTGTGTTTGGATGTTAAACGGGACAGGCGCGGGTCATCGTATTGACCATGATAACAATAGTGCTAAGTATCTTGGCAAGTTTTTTGTTTGAGGGACTAGATCATTTTGTATAGGCAACCAAGATAGCGTCATCGAGGGACTATGATCTTTTTGTTTTTGATTTTGTTTTGCCAAGACACTTAACATGCATACCATGACCATTTTAAAGGCAACAAGTGGATGAAACCCTAGGGGTGCTTGTGTGCATTGTGTTGTCAATTTTCATGTTTTTTTGTCTTGTATTAGGTCTAGCTATTTGTTTGATTTTGGATTTTGCATACAAACCCTAATCTCTATCCTGCATATTTGAAAGCTATAAATGCGTAAAAGTAAATCTACAACTATTACAACATTGATATGGGGAGGGGGATACAATTTTGAATAGGGGATTATTTGCAAGAAATTGAAACCCTAAGTCAACTATTACAACCAAATTGAATTAATTTGTACAAATAAATAAATTGACAAATATTTAAATGGACAATTAAATAAATATGCAATATATTATAAATATGCAAAAAATGTTTTTGTATTGTTTTTATGTATGTAAAAATAAAACATTTCATGTCCTAAAAATAAGGAAAATAAAAATGATTATTTTTATTAAGGGGTGGAAACCCTAATTTATTTTAAGAAAAATATATATATTATGAATTATTTATTCATGTATGAGAAAATAAATAAAAATATATACAAATGTTAAAAAATAAAAATATGTGAGAAAAATATTATTTAAGTATATAAATAATAAAAATAAAAAAAATAATATTTTTTGTATTATTTATGAATTTATTTTGAGAAAATAAAAGTATATTATTAAAGTAATTATTTTTATGTTAGAAAAAATAATAAAATAAAATAATAAAATTTATGAATTTTTTTTGGTAATTTTTAATATTTAGGAAAATAAATAAAAGTCAGAAACTAAAAAAGAAATGAAAAAATATGAAAATATAAAACAATGGGCCAAGGGGGTGCAGGAAGTAAGATGGAGGGTGCAGATAGCAAGCCAAACCAAGCCCATCCCAAGTTCCTCTTCATCCTTGTGCTTGAGACAGAACCAAGCGCGCGCTATGTACAAATTTGTATCTCCTGTTTCAGTGCTTAAAAACAAAAACTTGCAACATGAAAGTTATAGAGCATGATCATACGATTCTAATCATATAAAAAACTTAATCTAACTCTCGAAGACCAAAGAGAATTTCTCTGGCCCTAATTTCTAACCTAACTTTTTCAGAAAGTTCATCATTCAAATTCTCCCAACACAGTTAACTTAAATGAAATCTATGCATATGTACAACTTAAGGGTAATGAGTACTACATTTTTTATTCACAAACCTAAGCCTAATGTTTCCTAAATAGAGAGATAGAAGTTTGAACTTTACCTGTTTCAGTTGAGCTCGAGTATGACAATGCAGGGGTTTTCAGTGAGGCCTGAGATGCTTGTGAGTTTGCTTGAAGTTCCTTGGAGCTTTCCCAATGCTTAGCTAGCTTTGAGCTTGCCTGAATAAGCTTGTAGAAGTCAACCTGCACAGTCAAAATTCAAAAATGGTGAAGCTTGAAAACAAGGTTACAGTTGTTGGCCAATGGTTGGGATAACTTAGGTGTGTTGTTTAGAAGGTGTTTGAAGTGGTTGCAAGCAAAACGCATGAGTGGATTTTGCTTTGGATGTCAAAATGCAGAAGCTGCTCTGTTTTGCAAGATTTTGGTGTTTTGGTGTTCAAGGGTGTTTAAGGACTGGCTAGCTCGTGTTTCTTACCTTAGGCAATATGCAAAAGTTGTTTGGAATGGTTACAACACTTGGTTATATCAGATACAAGAGTTCTGTGGTTTTTGCAAGTTTACTTGGTTTTGAAGAAAAGTGTGAAGTGATCAAGCAAAGAGCATGTACAGGCCTCCTTCCTAGCTGCACAAAGTTATTGTACTTTGTCCTGAGTTTGTGGAGTTGGTATGCTGCAAAAAACTTGGTGCAATGCTCAAGAGAAACAAATTGACATAAAGCTAACTTTACCAAAGTGGCAATGCTACCTTTTTGCCATTTTTAGGTTAATTCAATGTGTAAACTTCTAAAGATCAGAACAATGCCTTAATCCATTGAGTTTGCATTCAATTTTTGAGTGTGGAAGGGTTTAAAGACCTGTAAGCAAGTACAAGCAAAGCTGTATATAAATTGCAACTTGTAGCAACATGAAAAATGCCATGGATCAAAGTGACATTTTGCCAAATTCAAACCTTCGATTCTCCCTAACCATAAATAATTTTGGAGAGTTCTTGGATATTTTGAAAAACTTGTAACATGCTATATAATCCATCTTTGAAAAGCATTTTGAGATTCCAATTGGAACTAGGTGAAAAATTTCCATGAAGATAGGTCAAAATCCTGCCTAAACTAGGGCAAAATTTCACTAAGTTAAAAGTTTCATGGACCCTTGTTCACAAAATCATAACTTGAGATCCAAGCATATTTTGGGAAAACTTTGTGAATCAAAGTTGTAGATTTTTTGGAGGACTACAACTTTCTTGTTGGAAGTTTTCTTTGAATCCAATTGCATTATGGAGAAAATGTTGGGCAAAGTTGGGAAAAAATAAGAAATTTTCATAACTTAGAAAATTTCTAAGTTATGAAAATTTTTCATTTTAAACCCTAATTTGCAAAATTAGGTTTCTTGATGAACAAGTTTCATTTTTTGACACATCTTGATGAAAAATGACCCTTGACACTTGATTTTGACCAAAAAGTCAAAGTTTGACTTTTCAGTGTATAGTTGATTTTTGATCAATTGACTGGAAAATTCATCTGTCAATCCAATGCTTTTGAGATCTTTTGAACCTTGTGAATAGGTCAAGATAATGCCATTGAGTCCTTGAATCTATGCTTGAACCCAATTTGCCATTGGCTAGGTTAAAAATCAGAAATTGCCCTTCTGCAGTCAAAACCCTAAAAATGATCATTTTGCCCTTTTAATGATCTGATCAAATTTCTTGAGGAGTTGTAGTCCAAACTTGATCAAATGGTTCATATGAGCCTATAATATTGATGTGGATAAAAAATTATGAGGTTTGACTGTATATTGGCCACAATTGACTTTTTCCTCAATACAGCTGATTTCTAGGTCAATTGTCCAATTGACTGGGCAAAAATTTGATTCAAGGCTTAAAACTTGGTATGGGTAATCTTATAAGTCCAACATGAAGTATGAAAGTTACTTTGAGCATTGAAAGTCCAAAAATCTCTGTCCAAACTCAAACCCTAATTTTAGGTCAACAGTGCAAGGAGATGTCTTGAGCAGAGCAAACCCTAATTCTGTCTGGAGTCCAAAGAGTCTTGTGAGGGGAAATCTTGATAAAATGAGAGGGTAAATTTTGGGGTACAACAGTTACGCATATCCGATGTTTTCAATAGAGGATCGTTTAGACGATTTTAGATTCCAAGAAGCTTTCGCATATTTTTCTGAAAACAATTTTAAAAAATACAAATTATTTTAAACGATCTATTCAATCCCTTTCTAGATCGTATCGATCACATCATCTAACATAAAGTATCATACTCAAAACTACGACTACCTCAAAGCGTTCAAGCATACTAATATCTTTTTTCTAATTGTTATGAAATGAGTTTTAAGTAGTAGTATAATCAAACAATTTTGTTTTTTTATAAATTTAAAATTATAGCTATGTATTCTACCAATTAATATTTACCTATGTTTTATACATTTATTTGAAAGTTTAAAAATGTATAAGAAAGTTATAAAATTTATTGAATTCAATAAAACTTTTGACATATAAAGGCTGGATTTATAAAATTTACTGTCGACGAAGAATTACTCTTAAATGGAATATATCTATATTAATACCTTTAAAATAAGGCGTTATATACCGAATCATTTTCTGTAATAATATGGAGTATTTATGAAGCTTCCAACTAAACACCCTGGAATGCTATTTTTTAATAAAAATAAAATCAGGCAAAAAACTATACAAATTTTGTCTCTTATTGATTTTGATGCTAATATATTTGGCTATAATATTTTCTACCTGATCTAACACAACGCATATATTATTATTATGGGCCAACACGCCGCATATATGGTTTTTGCCCAAACATGGTGGGAACAACCTTAGCTGTTATAGTTGAGAGTAAGCGTACGAAGTCGTTGGCTTCATGATTAGTTTATAAATGCAAACTTAGTTATAGTTTTTGTTGATAGGTGGTGCAGGTTTTACACTTTTTATACGTGCATGGTTTTTACTTTGAGACTCTTTTAATGCCATATCATGTGTATCTATAAATAGAGCTTCTTGCCAATTGTTCTAATCACAAGTGCAAAGTGAGATTTTACGGTTCTGATACAATTTTGTGGCTTACATTGTGTGAATTAAGATGAGGAGTTTGCATAAGTATGTTGGAGTTCTTGCTGTTATATTTGTGTTGGGGATAGGAACTTCTGAATGCCGAAAATTAAAGAAACAAGATTTTTATGACAACTTTGGTGACTTAGGTGCTGGTTTAGGCCAAGGTTTTGGGGGAGGTTTTGGAGGTGGTAATGGTGGAGGTGGTGGTGGTTTTGGAGGAGGTGGTGGAGGTGGTAGTGGGGGTGGTATAGGTGGAGGAAGTGGAAGTGGTTTTGGTGGAGGGTTTGGAAGTGGTGGTGGTGGTAATGGCAATGGTGGAGGTGGTGGTGGTGGGGGTGGTGGTGGTGGTGGAGGTGGTAATGGTGGTGGTATAGGGGGAGGAAGGAGTAGAGGTGCTGGCCATGGTAGAGGATTTGGAGGTGGAGCTGGCAGAGGTAGAGGTGGTGGTGGGGGTGGAGGTGGAAAAGGTGCGGGTGGTGGATCCGGAAGTGGTGCTGGTGGAGGCTTTGGTGGTGGATCTGGTGGAGGTTCTGGAGGGGGAGGTCTTGACGGAGGCTTTGGAAGTGGCGGTGGTTTTGGATTCGGCTTTGGAGGCGGTATAAGTGGTGGTTTTGGAGGTGGTGCAGGTGGAGGTGATGGTGGTGGGAAAGTTTAAATTTAAATATTCTTTAATTTTATTAATTTTATTATGGAATGTAATGTGTGTAATTGATGGTGGAGAGAATATGAAAAGAGAGATGAATTTGAAAAATAAGATAAATTTGAAGTATTGTTTAGAATAAATGTAAGAGATGAAAAATTGAGAAGACAATGTGTTTATTATTTTTATTAATCGATTGATTAACTTAATTATATTACTGAATTATATTATCAATATTTTCAGTTTGTTTAGGATAACTTATTTAAAAATTGTTTAAATGAGCCTATTGTGATTAAACGAAGAAAGTGACGCATGAAGATAATGCATGAAATACGAAAATAAAGGGTGTCTTTTGTCTTAACTTAGAAGGGCTTAAAAAAAAGAAAAGAATTAAATACCAACTTTTCTAGAAATTATCATGTCACCCCTTTCATTTTATACATGCCACTTCTTAGATTTAACATTTTTATGAAATTGTCTCTTTAATATATTGGATTTTTTGAAATTAAATATATTAGATTTTTTGAAATTTCTGATGTAGTATCGGAAATTTCACGAAAATATCAAATATTTCGTTGATTTTTCAAATTTTTACTGTGTTATATGTATTTAACCGAAAATTTAAAATATCTGATATCAGAAAATTTAAATTTCTGTTGTATGTCATCGTTATCAGGAATCAGAAATTTGAAATTTTCAGTGTGTGAAAAAAATCGGAAACTTTAAATTTCTGGTAGTACTGGAACTTTTTTTAATTTTTTTTTACTTTTACTTGAATAAAATTACACTGAAAAATAGCGAACCAACTTAATATATAAATAGAATAAATGTCATACATATATGCATTATAAAAAAACTACAATCACTTCCTAGACAATTCTTCCCAATGCCTGAAACGACCCGCATATGTTGAATCCCATACTTTTGCATCATTAGAACAATTCTCCCTCCAATGAGCAGTGACGCGAGGTAGTGGACAATCGGGTTTTAACTTTAGCTGAACCTAATGATTTTCGTTGACAAAACCAACATCAATGATTGTATATCGACTCGTGTACGGGGGTGGAGCTATGAGAAGTGAGAAAATGTTATGTTAAGTCTCATGGAAATGGAAACAAATACGACTCCAAGTTTAGAAGCAATAGGATAACCCATTTCAGAAATCGACATCCATTTATCCCTACCCTGCACACCCAAGTCTTTTACTTGTAACGAAGTCCTAACAACAGAGACAATGTCATGGAACAACTTGGAAAACAAGTCAGCGTGTGTTGTACCCCAAAATTTGCCCTCCCATTTCCTCAACATTTTCTCATCACAAGACCTTTGAAGATCAAGATCCAGTTAGGGTTTCCTCTGCTCAAGACTTCTCCTTGCATTGTGGACTCAAATTAGGGTTTGTGTTTGCCCAAGGATGTTTTGACCTAAAATGCCTAAGATGACTTTCATGCTTCATGTTGGACTCCCAAGTTTACCCATGCCAAGTTTCAAGTCTTGATTCCAAGTTTTGCTCAGTCAATTGGACAGTTGACCTAGAAATCAGCTGTATTGGGGAAAAAGTCAACTATGGTCAATTGACAGTCAAAACTCATGATTTTTGACCCACATCAACATTATGAACTCATATGGACCATTTGATCAAGTTTGGATCACAATTCCACAAGAAATTTGATCAGATCACCAAAAGGGCAAAATGGTCATTTTTAGGGTTTTGACTGTACAAAGGCAATTTTTGACTGTTTGACCTAGCCAATGGCAAATCAAGCTCACATATGGACTCAAGGACTCAATGAAATGGTCTTGACACATTCATCAAGCTCAAAAGATCCCAAGTACACAAGATTGACAGTTGAATTTCCCAGTCAATTGATCAATTTTGAGTGTACATTGAAAAGTCAAACTTTGACTTTTTGGTCAAAATCAAGAGTCAAGATTCATTTTTCATCAAAACATGCCAAATCATGAAACTTGTTCACCAAGAAATCACAAAATGCAAATTAGGGTTTGAAAATGGAATTTTTCATAACTTAGAATTTTTCTAAGTTATGAAAAACCCTAATTTTTTCCCAACTTTGCCCCATCTTTTCACCAAGATCCATTTGGATTCAAACAAAAGTCAAAACATGAAAGTTGTAGCTTGTTACATAATCTACAACTTTGATTCACAAAGTTTTCTCATTTGAAGCTTGTATCTCAAGTTACAATTTTTTGAATAAGGGCACTAAACCATTTTTAACTTAGTGAAATTTTAACCTATTTTGACAAGGTTTTCTACCCCACTTCAAGGCCATTTTTCATACCCTTCCACTTGGAATTTCAATTTGCATTTCAAAGATGGATTGTAGTACACATTCCAAGCTTTCCAAAATGTCCAAGAACTTCTCAAACAACCTCATAACTTGAGAGATTCGAATTTCACAATATAGCAAAAAACCACTTTGTTCATGACCAAGTTCCATGTCCACAACTTTGCAAATTTGAACTCAGCATGCTTTAGGCTAGATTACACGTCCTTAAACCAAGTTACACTCCAAAATTTAATGCTTGTTCATTGTGCCAAAGTGTTGTTCCATGAGTTCAAGCATTGTACACAAGATTGATCCATTTTTAGATAAAGTGAGTTAGCCATTTTGGTAAAAGTTCACTTTATGTCAACTTAGAAATCCAACAAGTACAAGCTAAATCCTTTTGGCACAAGATTATGGACAAGTTGCTCTGATCAAGAGAAGATTATGCAGCACATTAGGAGGCCCCCTACTGACCTAAACCATCAACTTGCTTTTGTTGCTTAAGAGAGAAGAAAAGTTCCATAACTTGTGACAACTATTTTTTTCAGCATAGGGACACAAGAGAAAACTGATCAAACACATTCCAAACATCCCAACCAAGCTTTTGCACGAATCCTTGACCTCTAAAACACTCTCCATCACAGAAACACCATCAAACTGCTCAAACAGGGCAAGGCCTGCAGTTTGAGTACCAACTCCCATTTCCCTCAAGTTCTTGTGCCAAAACCAGTTCACACACATTTCCTAGTACTTATGCAAGCTAACCATGACCTGAAACCTGACCTGTAACACCTCCAAGCCACTTCACCACTTTTAATTTTCTGTTTTGCAGTTGGAGTTCACTAGCTCGATTCAGGGAGTTTCAAGACAAAGTAGGACTTAGAAAAGCATCCTTACACTTCAAGGAAGCTATACAAGTCATCATTTCACTCTGAAACATCCTCCATTGCAAAGCTCGATTCCAACTGAACAGGTAAGTTCATGGGGTCGTATCTCTCTTATTAGACATTGTTAGCTTTAGGTTTGTGAAGAAAACATGTCACAATCATAGCCCTGAACATGCTCATATGATTAGATTTCATTTATATTTCGTGTGCTTAGAGAATTTTATGTCTGAACATTGATGAAAAGTTAGGTCAGAAATTGGGGGAGGAGAAATTCTCCCTCATCTTAGAGAGTTAGGTCAAGTTCTTTACATGGTTGAAACCGTCTCTTAATGCTTTACACTTTTCATGTTATGAGTTTTGCTTGAAAGTCCAGGAATCCAGAGATAAAAAACGCGTGTTTGCTTGAAGGATATTGTTCAGAGGTTGAAGAAGACAGGTCTTCTGGGCTGGGCCTGAAATTTTTTCTTATTTACACCATATAATTGCTCCTGAACCCCCTGAGCCCATTTGCTTATTGATTTGACTTTTTTGACTTTTTCTTTTTTGATTGACTTTGTTTATTTTTTCTCATGATATAAAAAACATAAAAATATTTTTTCCATCTTTTTTTGAATTTATGGCATATTTATTTGATTTATTTCTTTTGTTTGTATATAAATATTATATATATACTATTATTAGAATAAATAGAAAAATAGTGTAAATATTTTTTATTTTCATTTTTATTATTTTACCTTCTGAAAATACTTTATATAAAAAATATATTTTTTTTTACAAATATTAAATGTTATTATTATTTATATATATATATAATACATATTTAAAAGAATACATATATATATATATATATATATATATATATATATATATATATATATATATATATATATATATATATATATATATATATATATATATATATATATATATATATATATATATATATATATATATATATATATATATATATATATATATATATATATATATATATATATATTCATTAATATACTTAGAGTAAAAATACCAAAAAATGTACATATTTTATTTTTTATTTAAATACTAAAAAATACCCCTTTTTTACAAATATACTATATTTTATTTTATTTTTGTATGTAAATAATAAGTATTATATGAATTAAGTAATTAATACCCATTTTAATTGAAATTAGGGTTTTTTGCCCTAAAAGTTGAAAATACTCAAAATAATACCTTTTTATTTTTCTTATTTTATTTTACATAAACCATACTTTTCTCATACATATAAAAACTTTCTTTTTTGCATTTTGCATATTTATTTAATTTCCATTTAATTATGCAATTTCTTTACCTTGCAAAAATTCAAAAATGATGTAATAATTTAGATTTACATTACTTGTCAATATCCCCATTTGAACATTTGTACCCCCCTTCCCATATTTGGTTTTGTAATAGCTTAGTAAATTTATTTTCGCACTTTATTGCTTTCTAATGATAACATGTTAGAATTAGGGTTTGTATGCGAAAAAAACGACAAAAAATAGTTATGACCTAATACAAGATGAATGAGCATGAAAATAAACAACACATCTCACACTTGCACCCCTAGGGTACTCCCCTTTGTTGCCCTCAAATAAATGGGCCATATTGTATGTTGAACTTCTTTGGGCAAAGCAAACAATTTGAATGATCATAGTCCCTCGATAAAACTTTTCAAAACAAACAAAAATAAATGATCAAGTCCCTTAAAGAAAATTGCCCAAAGACATTTAACGCCGTTGCAATTATGGTCTAAACGATGACCCGCGCCTGTCCCTTTCACATCCTAAACACAAGGTTGTCCACCAAATGCAATGGTGGA